CTTTTTCACATAGAGAAATGCTGTGCTTCCATCAAGCATTTTTAGAAGCACTCATCTGCCCAGTGTAGTAGACTTCATGAATCAAAAGTGGCTCAGAAAGCCTGGACCTGCAAATGTGTTAGGCACACAGCCCAAAAGGCTCTTCCTTTCATATACTGAGAACTTGCCACCAAAAGGAAGGCTGGGTGTATTTTTCATTCTGTGATCAGCAAGATCCAGTTTTATCCTTTTGTCATTGTAATCATAGATGAGGTGTTTAAAAAGGAGGGCCCTGTCAGCCTGCTCAAGAGACTGGGGCTGCTGTTATTCCTAGAATGTCACTCTGGTACTCTGGCTCTAGTTTCTGCCAAATTCTTGGATCCACTCCCCAAACGCTTAGGAATCCCAGATCGTAGTGAGCAAAAACACTGCCCCAATCCTGCATAAATGAAAACTGTCATTTTCCTTGTATGCCTCACAGGAAAGTGTACATGCGCTTCATTTACATAAGCACTTGGGTGGATTTGCACAAAGGGCACAGGGGTAATCTTATTCCATAAGACTCTATTTCCCTTTTAAAAATGGTCCTTGGCAGAAAAAGCATTTGGAAAAAATTAGACAAAAATAATACGTAAGACAACATGGAACCATTTTGAGAACCCAACAGATAGTCACATTTTCATCCCCTGGCCAAACCAGCAGCTGCAAAACGTTGATAAGAATGCAGCCGGTGGGGCTGGGGAGCAGAGGAAAGCATACACCACAGCCTTTGGAAGCCTTGGATTTAGAAAAAAAAGAAAAGCACCTCCCTCTGCTTTTTAAGCTCTGCCTAGTTCCTTTTGCATGTTCTATGAATTTTAAAGAACTACAGGTGGACTCTGACTAATCATGTATCACTGCTTTGGCTTTAATCATTCTAACATCCTTAATTTGCAGATGTGAACTCTTCCCAGCATTTGAACTGTCAGAGAGCAGAGGCTGTTGTGCCATGCAATCTCGGGGAACAGGAATGCACAGCTCCTGCTCTGATCTGACCTACTTCCTGGAAAATGCTTGCTATTTCACGGTCAGGGCAGCACTACATAGTTTGAAAAGGATGGTGTGATCTTGCTGTAAAGGCCCTAGTGGCCAAGGAGAAGGCTGTGCGTGTTCTTGCTTTCCTCATCAGTCTCCTCTCACCCCATCCTGCCCACCTCCTCACCAAAAGAAGCTGAATCTGCCCATCAGGTTCTGGGTGTGTTGTGTATCGCACAACTCTAGGGACAGCACAGCCTTGACAGTCAGGGTAGAGGTATATGATGATAATTTCAAGAGATGGCAGAAGTGTCTTGAGTTTCCTATCATTTGTACACAGGTGTCATTTAGGGTAGGAGTGCAATTCATGGGAATTTGAGTCTAGCAGGCCAATGCCAAGGGCAGGACTGTAGGCCCCCACGGTACCGTTTCACAGATCGTCTTGAGTTTCCTATCATTTGTACACAGGTGTCATTTAGGGTAGGAGTGCAATTCATGGGACTTTGAGTCTAGCAGGCCAATGCCAAGGGCAGGACTGTAGGCCCCCACGGTACCGTTTCACAGATCTGATTCAGTGAGGGGAAAGAAGGACAGTGGACGCCAGCAAATGTAAGCAGCCATATTTTCAACATAATTTACTACAGGTCTCTGAAGTGTATATTAAAAAAATGTTTTAGTGCAACATCTTACAAATAGTTTTCCTTTAAAAAAACAAAAACCAACAGCTCTCTACATCATGCATGGGTAATTTCCTTACCTCATATCTTTTTTTCTTCAACAATTAACGCAGAGAAACCATTGTTTGAAAAGAGTAAGAAAACTTGCTATATAAACACCCTGGTGAAAGAGGGTATAGTCATATCCATGTCCTGGAATGCGCCTAGCACAGTGTAGTTTTTCATGAATGCAACATTGTAGACACAGATAAGACAGTATTCTGCAGTTTTCCTCTCTTGGTCTCACAGGACTGAAGCTCCGGTAGACAATGTGCAATGAGGTCTTGCAGCCACTGGAGGGAACCATTACCATTCATTTGACACCACATTTCCATAGAAATGGCCAAAGAAAGAAGGTCCTGGAGTTTTTCATACAAAGCTGGAAAAGCTCAACCTTTGATGGTATCCCCCAGACCAACAGAAAATACACAAGAAAGCATTTATTAAAATACTGGCTTCGGTTTCTTTTTTCCTTTCAAATGTCCTGCAACTGCTTCACGTATTTAATAACGCACAGAACCCACTTTTTACTGCTGTGAACCAATTCAAACTGAAATTTTAGTTACAATCCTAGTTCCAGCCACCCCTCTGGCATCTTTCCATTCAGACAGAAGAAAAGTCAGTCATCTTTCCTCATTGACTCAGCCTTTAAGTTACGAGTCAGCAATTTTTCAGTGAAAGCCCACATCCGTGAAATGGAGAAATGGGGCAAAAGACCTTCTTTCTTCACAGCTGAGCCAATTCTGTACCTCAAATGTGTTGATGCAGCATAATAAATGAGAATCAGCGTGTCAGGCAACAGTGGGATTAAGGTGGCAGTGCCTGCAAACTGTCTCATAGGAGAGTACTGGTGTATCTGGGAGGAAAAAAGGCAGGTCCATGGAAGCCTGTCAGAAAATAACTGAGCAGTTACCTTGCTTCCTCTCAGCCATGGCCCAACAAAGCACCTGCCAAGCAGCCCGAGCCGCTGGCACACCTGCAGACCCATGATCAGGAACAGCGCCCACATGGCCTGGGGAATCCCACAGCCTCCCCTGGAGTCTGCTCATTATCAGACCAGGGCTTCACAGGAATTGCTCGTTAGACTTAGTTCCAGAATCCCTGGTGGCTTTTTCCAATTTGGGACTCTTCTTGGGACTCAAGATGTGATTTCCCAGAGGGAGGGAGATGGCACACTTCGCCAGCAAAATATCGGCAAGCAAGGGTGTAAAAACATCTCCATGGAGTGAGCCAAAGGAATCATTTGCAACCAATGATGCACCAACAGTGCCAAGCATTTGGCCAATAGTGTAAAATAACATGGTGACACAGACCCTTGTTGGGCTTAAGGGACATTAAAATAAAAAGCCACCATAACAAAAACCAAATAACCTAAAACCACAAAAAAGACCCAAGAAAGGGAAGCAGAAAACCCCCCCAGACAACACATGCTGTCTACTGAGACTAGGTAAACCCAACGGACTGCAAAGGGCTGGGTCTGGACTTCCCCCAAGCAGATATTCTTATGGTAGTGAGAGGGAGGGAGAGATAAATTGTGAATAAGGAAGACATAAATATCTTTGAGGAAAACCTAATTGTAAGGAAGAAAAACCTAGTCTTCACACCTCCAGAGAGGTAGTTATTCCTCCATGCTTTCCATCGTCAGGCCCTGGAAACCCCCTCCTGCCCCTCACTCTCCCACTCTTCACCAAACTTAGTGTCGGCCAGCCCTGTGCCCTCCACTGGGTATCTGTGGTGACTGCTTTGGCCCTGTGCTCAGCTCAGAGCTGTCCCCCGTCCAGGCCCACTGGGGACTTTCCCTTAAGAGTTGGCAAAGCACCTGAATACAAAAGCCCTCCTGCTCGCAGTCATCAGTTAGACAGTGCCCTTGTGGACCAGATCAAGCCAACAGCCAGCCTTTTCTTCCTTCCATCTCTAGTCATTGGTTCTGATCAATGTGAAAGTCAGTAGCTGTGAAAAGCAGCCCTCCACCCACTTAAGCTTGGAAAGTGTGTGCTGTTTGGAGCTTCTGACCCATCCTCCAGGACAGTTTCCTTATTTTTTGGCAAGGATGGGATGAAGCCTTTTTTGCCTTCCTGATAAGCGTGCCAGGCATCCTCTACTCCTACTGGGGTTATGCAGGATTTCTCTTGTACATACACAGTTCTTTGAAGCAAAATTCAATGCTTTCATCTTGACTACAAAGTGATTCCAACAACTCCAGCTGAGGAAAAAGATAAGGTACAAATTGTGCCCGCACTACACACAATTTTCAAGTCTCTTTAAGAAAGTAAAAAATGTTTGGGTGTATTTTGATTCATAGGTGGCATTTTCAAATGTGCAAAAAAAAAAGAGTCTTAGAAGAGATTCCTTGTTGCTATAAAGTTCATCCTTCCTTTTGCCATCAGTTGTATGTAAGAAAAATCTATCCACAACATTACAGAATCCAAAAAGGGTAAACCAAAGGGATTTTTAAAAAGTACATTACAAAGAATAGGAACCCCTGTAACATCTATCTGAAAATACTAGATAAATCAGTGAGTAGATGAGGCACCTGGAGCTACTTACTACATTACCAAAAACAAAAACAAGAAAACTGTAAGGGCAGGGTCACAACATTTGCACGCAAATTGCTAACTAAGACCGCTCCCTAGAGGCGGTCCGTCTCCGTGACTGACCGGGAACTTTGAACACTTCTCAAGTCTGACAGTTTTCTGCCTGGGGCACTCCAGAGTCTGGGTGTGCTGTCAATGTCCAATCACACAGCAAGAGGCAGCAAGGGAGAGACTCAGCTCCTCTGTGACCAATGTCTGTTGGGACGTCCCCCTTAGTCTATGGCCCCTGGGTGGATACTGAGAACAGGGGGCTCCAGGCAAGTTGGTGAGTAGTTGAGGTGCGGCTCTTTGATCCACAACAAGGGCACCCCATTCTTCCCGTCAGAGTTCTTGCTGGAGTTCCGGCTCTTGAAGCGCACCAGCAGGATAGTGATGATGAGGATACCAAAGATGGGGAAAGGGTAGAAGAAGACGAAGTAGAAGAGTGCATCGTTGGAGCAGATGATGGACTGGAGGGTGGGACCTGAAAAGGATGTGAAGGAGAGAAGATAATGAGGGCTAAGAACTGGACTGTCCACATTCGTCTCTGAAGACCTCGCCCATCCCGATGGGAGCTGCTTGCTGGAATTCCCACACAGCCCCTCCTTGCCCCCGGTACCACTCAGGGTTGGGGGAGGACTCTTGTATTCTTTCTCTTACAGCTACACCTCTTCCAATTCACAGCTGTATGTGCAAACAAAGCAATGCTTCCATCTTCCATTGAGATCTGTTATTACTGCTTGGAAAGCCGTATAATAAAACATAGCTTACTGATTGTGAACTCAACTGCATCTAGGATGGTAAAGCAGCCGCTCCAGTTTAATCTGAACCTTCTGCATGGTTATATTCTGCACTCAGTGCTGCCACAAACTTCCTTCTTTGGGAATACAACATGTTCCCTTCCTGCCAGCTTCTGAGAGCAGTTTTACCAGAAATAATACTTACCTGATTAGCATTACCAATTAACATTAAGTCATTATGGACCATTTATAAATGTCCATGGTGTATCTGTGGCTACACAGGACACAGTATTAGCTATAGCTGCATATGGAAGAGAACGAAACCAGGTGCCCAAAGACCCAGGCTGCGGGCAGGAGTCTGGCCTCTGGAAGACTAATTTTTCTGTGTAAAATAAGGCTGCTGGATGATCTCTATGCTCTGTGAAGCTTAGTAATTATGTACGTCCACAATCGGCAGATACAATGTGGCCTAAATGCCTTGCTTTTAATTTTAGACAACGGGATATTCAGTAGATCATTAGGTTGTCTGTGTATGATTTAGCTTTTTTCTGCTTTCCCTTACACTGCATAGCTGTTTCTCATCAGTATTATTAAGAAAAGTTAACATACACTTATTAGATTTCCAAAATACATAAAATTGCTGAGAGTCAACTACTTGAGTCAATTTCTTATGGTTTCACCTAATACAATATTAACAGGAGGTAATCACAGCAGAAGAATGGTGGGCAGAACACACACTCAAACCAAGATTATGTGGTAACACATTTTGACGGAAAAAAGTCAAAAATTCTAGCAATTTTTTAATTTCTACATTACAGGCTAATTCTACTATAACAGACACCATTTTCAGTCTGACATATCCCACATTTTGACAGAAGGCCAACCAAAAGACTGCCTTCCTGCAACAAATAATTCGGTCCAGCAAGTATCCTCCAGTCTCCGTTAATAGTAAATGTCCCTCTGTGTAATGGAAACTCTGTGTTCTGGACACTTCTGTAGCAGCAAGTCTGCTGCTCAGCTCCTCCCAGCTCTTCTGTAACATCCCTGCCCTCCTAGGCTGGTCTTCTCAACTAACCATGCAAAATCCACCTAAACTTCCAAGTCACCCTCCAAAATAAATGTGACCTGGAAACCCTAGAAAAAGAATGACAGTGAGGTATTCAGGCTTCATTTTTTTCCCTCCTCTTATGAGTCTGAAACACTTGCTAATTCACTAAAGAGAAACTAGGTTCAATATTCTAAAAAGTAACAAAGGAAGATCTAACAATATACTTGTATAATAAAATATTCCTGACATAGTATCTGGTGTCTGAAACACTTGCTAATTCACTAAAGAGAAACTAGGTTCAATATTCTAAAAAGTAACAAATGAACATCTAACAATATACTTGTATAATAAAATATTCCTGACATAGTATCTGGTGGAGCATCAAGTTTATTATAAAGATTATGTAGTACATTATCACTTTAATTCCTATTCCTGCTTTCTGCATGGGCAATCAAAGGCCAGTTATATGAACTAGTATGTCAAATCCTACCATATCTCAAATCCTCCTTATCAATGCCTATGACAGTTAAGGAAACTGCTTTTTGACCCACAATCAAGCTCTGAATGTGTCTTCTGGACACAGCTGGAATCAAAGTGACATCCTTCTCTGTGATTGGGAAAACTTACTTGTGTCCAGAACACGGATGCCGATGGGGGCCGACTCCTCCTCTGTCAGGCGGTACCATTCCTTCTGAGGGCTGGGTAGCCACTCTTCCACACGGCAGGAGTAGTTGCCCGTGTCATGGGGGCTTGCCTGCAGCACTGTGAGCCGGTAGAGCACTGGGGAAAGCCTCTGGAAGCGAAGCCTGCCTTCCCAGGGGGTGCCCTCTGGGCCAAAGACAGCATCTGGGCCCACACTCAGCAGGACCATCCGCTCTGTTGGGTCGTCATCTTCCTCCTCCTCCTCCTCCTCCCTTTCCTCCTCCTGTTCTTCTAAGCCAGGGCTGACCCTTTTCCCTCCAGCTTTAGTCCTCAGGGAATACCAGGCCACAGCAAAGCGGGAGTCCTGGCTTGAACGAGATGCAATACTACAGTCCAGCTGGAAAGCTGCCTTCTCAGACACTGTGGCATTGGGGACCACTGTGTCCACCTGTAGGGCAGCATCTGGGGAGGTACAATGAATAAAGAAGGGAGAAGAAGTTGTTTTATTTGCTGAAACAAACTATGTCGATAACTAAATACATTACAGTAATATGTGTACAATAGAATACTATGTACCTATTGAAAAGGCATACAGGCAATGCCATGTGCAGAGATGAGGAAGGAAATTTTTTAAAAATAATAGAATACAGAGCACTGTGTACTCTACATATCATTGAACCCAGAAAAAATATTTTATTGTGACATATATATCTGCTTATATTTGCATAAAATATCTGTGGAAGAATTCACAAGAAGCTGGTAATGTGGCTGCTTACAGGAATCCAGGGAGGGGGGAACACTCATTTTCACTATAACCCCTTGTGGTGGTTGAATGATATCCCCTCAGAATCCATGTCCACCTGGAAACTCAGAATGTGACCTTATTTGGAAATAGGGTCTTTGCAGATGTAATTAGCTAAGAAGAAATCATGCTGAATTAGATTTCAGCCCCAAATTCATTGGGCCCCAAATTCAATGACTGGTGCTATGGACTGAAAGGTATCCTCCCAAATGCATAGGCTGGATCACCTAACCACCAATGTGACTGTATTTGGAGATAGGGCTCTCAGGAAGTAATTAGGTTAAATTAGGTCATAAGGGTGGGGCCCTAATCCAGCAGGATTGGTGGCCTGATAAGAGGAGGAAAAGAGAGATATCTTTCTCTCTGGGCACATGGAGGAAAGGCCAAGTGAGGACGCAGTGGAAGGCAGCCATCTGCAAGCCAGGAAGAGGGCCCTCACCAGAACCCTGATCTGAAATGCTGGTTCCCTAATCTCAGACTTCTGGCCTCCAAAACTGTGAGAAAATAAATTTCTGTTGTTTAAGTGCCCAGTTTTCAGTAATTTATTATGGCAGCCAAGCAGACTAAGACAAATGGTATCCTTATAAAAACAGGAGAGGACACACAGAGAGAAGACCACAAGACAGGGGTCACAGATTGGAGTGATGCATCTACAGA